CTGCATTCTGTCCTTGTTTGGAAAAGCATTTCTCCCAGTGCTTTCGCAAAACAAGAATGAAGACACAAGTTGGCGCAAGTACCTACCTTGGCTTCCTTTGCAACCTGCTGAAATCCAACTCAAAGTAAAGAGGCTTTGCTTAAAAGCCAATCAGAAATTTCCAGCTACCTTTAAAGGATAATTTTACTTTAGCCCATCAAATGTTTAATTTGGTTTGCTACTGAGGACACTTAGCTCCTCTTGCTACATGAAGCTCTACTGACTTCTTTTGTGTAAATTTCTGAATGCTCAAATAGTTCATTAAAATGTTCATATATCTAATTTCAATGTATATTTTAACATGTGACCTGGAGGTAAATCTTTTGGAAATACTTTTTATCCACCCACACACCAGCTTTTAGGGTGGCTGGTAAGAGGCCATATGCTCTGACTTTCTGATTCCAGTTTCTTTATATGGAAAGCCTTTTTCTCTTTCTTTTCCTCTGTATTTCTCTATTGCTCCAGGATAGTCTTTATGTCCTGGGGCTCTAGGATAACACATGGTTTATTTGCATCCATTTTCATGCATTTCTTTACGGACTTGGTAGATTACCTCAAACTGGTTAACTATGTCCTTCAGTTTTCCTTTCTTGTGAATGGTCTATCACAGTTTTTGTCCAGAACCCTGTTGTTCTCATTTATTCTATAATTTTTGTGTCCTGAGTACCTTTTATATAGCTTTCCATTTGCGTTTCTTCATCTCCTCCAGGCTCTCTGAGTTGTTCATTTGTTCTAGTGTTATGTTAATTCATTCAAATTCTTATGTGCCCTTTGAACAGTGACTGTTATACTTTTGTTCTTTTAATATTTTCTCCTACCTGGGAATTTATCATTAGATTTTCATATTATTATAAGAGAAGCACCTAGGTAGTCACAGTTGGTTGCTATGTAGGCATAGTGGTGTGTTTGTTTGTTTGTTTACTTATTTACTTATTTTGCTGCAGGGTGCTGTGCTGATCACTTCCCTGGTGATGCATGTCAGCAGTTTCTTCTTTGGTTGTTGTGGTTCTTACATCATGATTCAACTAGCATCCTATGATGAGGGGAGAGAACTTAGCATCTCTGGAACAACAGTGTCATCCCTTTTTCTTTCTCAAGTTTCTCATTGTCCACCCTGATACCCACTGTTTTAGCTTATCTATAGAAACTTTTAGTCCACTGTCAAATTATGACATGGCCATTTGAGAATGAGGATATCAGAGTATTTTTTTTTTCTCCACGGATCTTCACCAAATTAACACATTTACTTCAAGCCTTGTGGGGATTCTGATTTTAAAATTGGACTTGGATTTCAGGAGGTATCAGATTAGATACATAAATATATTCGGCAATCTGACTTGTGAATTTTTATTCTATATTCCTTGGTGCAATGGAGCTTCAATTCTACGCTTTATCGGTACTCTCAAGCACTGTAAAAAGGAAGTCAAGTTCAAATCACTGTCTCTAATTGGAAGTATCATCAGCAGAAATGTTCAGAATGGGATCAGTAGTAACAACCGAGGCTGGAGAAAGAAGACCTACCCATGATACTCTTTCCTTTGAGTGTGACCAACTGTAGATAACCAGAAACAAGAGATCAATGGACCAGGGTACCAAATGAACTGACATGACAAGCAGCTCCATGACTTCTTGCTGTTACTTTAGACAGAGACTTCACAGATTTGAACTCAGCTTAGATGAACTATGTCAGGTCCATGTTCAAATGCTTTGGAAAGGCAGGGATATTAGAAATCCCAAATACTGAATAGACTGCATGTGCAAATAGTTTTAGATGACAGAGAAAGAATGGCTAAATTGGGTGAGAGCCAAATGCATCTTCATTCCTTAAGGAACACTTACCAAACGGTTGATACAGAAAATATCAACAGCGGTCAAGCAGACAAAAGCGTGAGAGAACAACAGCAGAATCAACTGAAAAGACTTTCCATGTGTGGAGTGTGTATCAGGGTTGAAATGTTTTTTTTTTTTATTTTTTTCCTAAGTCCTATAATTTGATATTAATTTATAATATGACTGTTTTGGGGCATTAATGCTTTACAGCTCCATGCTGTGTGAAAACATAGGGGCAGCATACATTCATCCACTATGACTGAAGTTTGTGGCATTCCTGATAACTTCAATTTAACTCTCAGTTTAACACTGTAACCGCCCAAACAAGGCGGCTGCTAATGTATTAGGTATGCTTCTCAGAGTAAATCTAATCCAAATAAAGTCCACAGCCGTTTGCACTGGCTTGTGATGAGTTTGTTTTTAAATATAGTTTCCCGTGGAGTAATTATGCCCGTTGTTTTATTAAGTGGAAAAATAATATATTCATGGTGTAATCACAGTAGCCATAGTTTTAAGTGCTTGTGTATGCACTGGAGGGCATTCAGTATGCCTATAGTTTAAAAGGTCTCAAGCATTCCTGGTAATGGTAAATGGTACTATAATGTGTAAAGAGGGAAGGTGATCTCTTTAAAACATTTTATGGTATAGACAATCCATAATAATATGATTATGTTTTGTTCTGATTTTGTCTGAAAGTTTTAGAACCCCCTTTTAAGGCAGTGGGGAGATAAACCTTGTGAAGTTCAGTCAGAACTTACCCCTTCCTTGCCCAGAGCATGCTCTATGCTCTACTGAATTTTCTTCCTTGTCCTCTGCTTCTTTCCCTCAAATGCATTTGTGCTGGAACATACCTTATTAAATGGCTAATACCATGTAAGGACTGAAATATAGAAGGAGTAATAATGAAGAATAAGTACTAGCTAGCAAATAATTAGCTTTCAGATAATTAAACACTAAAATAAGTGCCCCTGGATTTAATAAGGAGGCTTTGAGTACGTTTTAATGAATTTAAATGCATTTCATTCCTCTCTCCATAACACAGTGTTAACTCTTTACATATAACTCTGATACTTTCCCACAGAGAAAACACAGGAAATGAAGAATAGGATTGTATTATCTCCATATATATATATATATATATATATATATATATATATATAGAGAGAGAGAGAGAGAGAGAGAGAGAGAGAGATGCTACACAAGGACAGTGAAGTTACAAATTAAATACCTTCATTTTCTTCATAGCACGTTTAAAAGGAAGAGAGACGCCAACAACAAGGACAAGACTTGTCATTCTGAAAGTAACGGTCTCATGAATAGGAAAAGTTTAAAGATGAGCAAAGGCAAGGTGACAGTTTTTATAAAAGGAAAATCAGGGCTTGAATTAGAGTGTTACGTTTATAGATGATCTTCCAGCAAGATCTGTGGCAGGTATTATTCATTGCAGGAAACCGGAAGGTATAATATACTGTAATAAGGATCACATTTTTCTCTTTGAGGTGATTTATATTTAAATGAGTTCTCTATAATCCTTTAAACTGAAGTGCAAATTGGTTATCAAAGTCTTTTTCTGCAAGGGTTGTTTTACATAATAATGAATTCTACAGAAGTTCCTCAAAGGGAAATATTGACTTAGGCAACATCACAGGGTATTTTAGGTATAGCGACGCTTTAGATTATGGTCATAGACAGTGCATCAAAACTTTCTAAAACTCTAAATTTCTATACTGAAAAGTGTAGGCAATGTAGTTTTTCTCAGTGTAAAATGTGTGCTATTGAAAATTTCAGGAAAAGTTGTTCAACTTAATCTATCATGTCTCTTTCATACTAACATGCTGGGGAGAGTTACTGAACCACTTTCAATGAGATATGTATAAATTTAGGTTGAACAACCTTATTTTGAAGCACATAAGATTAGAAATGTTCCATAGCTCAGCCAGGAGGTGGGAACCAGTTCTGGTGGAGTCCACAGGCAGGGAGCCAATTACTAGCTTTAGTTCAAGAACCATGGGTACCAGAGTGGAGGCATTTTATGCTCCAAATAGGAACCTCAGCCACAACTCTAGTCCCAAACAGCACTCAGTAGCTAAGAGTCACCTAGCAGCCTCACTTCAGAGAAGCCAGGAATGCAGATGTGAAGGAAACCTGATCTTAAGACCTACATATGTCACAAACCACACTTGTGGCTGCAGAAATATATTTATGTCTGTGAATTGTGTGCACTCTGTGAAAGGACCTTGGGATTAATCATCACTTTTCAAATTTTATTGTTCATTTGCTTGATTTTTTTTTAAGGAGTAAAATTATTAGTAATTTAAGTTATGTTTGAATCTCTGCACCAAACACACACAAGTAGTGTTATTACACAATCAAACCTAGCAAGGTCTAGGTTTGAAAAAGACACACATTTTGTATACCTAATGGGTCTCCTCTTAATCTCCATGGTAGCTCTACAGCAGCCTGTGAGCTACCTAGCACCTTAAAAAATGCAAGTCTCAAAATGTGGAGCAGCTCTGAGTTCATCCCAATTCTAATTTTATGTGATCATAAAACATTGTGCAGGAAAAAGTGTAATAACTGTCTTAGACTGTGGCTAGGGACCCCGTCATAATCCAGAAATAGCCCACTGAGTGCTAAAAGATTAATTATATAATTTGGCCTGTGGTTGCCAGGGACCTGCTGAATCCTTCCAGGTTTCTGAACTTGGGTAAAGACATTTCACAATATAACAGGAAAGACAGAATGTGGGCTCCGAAATAATGGTCTTTAGATTTTTTGTATTGTACTGTGGTTACTTTAATGATACGTGAATATTATGTTATCCTGATAGTACTATCCATTTTTGCTTTTGTTTTCTTACAGATTACTTAATATGAGATAGAAAGTTTCAATTATGATTCAACTACTGTTGATTGTTCCATTAAAATACTATCTGTTTGAAACGTTAATCTTATATCTGTTCATGTTTTCACAAGCAGCCTCAATCGATCAGTGCCGTTCTTAGCTTGTAGGAGCTGTTTGTGGCTTTGTAACTTAGTGACTCAGCTGGGGTCTCTCTGGCCTGCATTCTATGACTGATGGTGTTGGGTTAATTCTACCCTGTCTGTGACAATAGATTCCTTTCCACTTACCTGCCTCTGCCTTCTGTTGCTTCTCAATCTTCTCCAGGCGCCCTAGCAAGGAGTCAATTTTAGTTTTGATCTGGGTTAATTCTTTCTTGATTGTCTGTAACTCATCTGATTTCACTGAAAGGGGAAAAGTGGAAAGAAAACAAGACATCAAATTGACCACTTAGCACACAATTTATGTCACAGAACTTCTCAAGACTGTCATACTGGATTCCCAGGGAAGCCTCAGCTTCCTGATACAGCTTGTCATCCTGAAGCTGTGCATGTCTTTGCTCATTGGAAAAAAGACTCTTACTGACTTGAGAATCAGGTATTCAATCTTCTAACTAAAGGTCACATGAAAACTAAAAGAATCTGAAAATATTTCCAACAGAATGATGCCAGGTCTTAACTTACTCACAGAAGTAAGAGAATAAACCTTCAATGTAAAACTGACTTGGCTTAAGGAACAGTAATACCTGTGTTAATACTACTTTCAATCACATTGTAGTTTTATACATGTTTTATGTTTTGATTTTGTGACAGGGTCTCAGTAAGTAGTTCATGACAGATAGAACCACCACTCATGGCTAGACATCAGTGATATTTTGAGCCAGTTCTTTGGAGACCAATTGAAACAAACATTTGGTCTTGAGAGAATAAACTATTGCCTGAGCTCTTCCTAAAAGTAAAGCAACAGAGTGTACATACCCATCCTTAAGTCATAGGACAGGTGGAAAGGAAACACATAGGCAGTCCCTCTGATTTTTTACATAAATTTAACTTATGATTTATTTATTTATATATTTTGGGATAACATCACTATGTTGCTCAAGCTGACCTTGAACTCACCATCCTTCTGCCTCAACCTCCTGGGTGCAAGAACAACAGGCATACTACACCACATATCACCTCACTGGTATATGTGTAGCACAAGCTTTTCAATATTTAATGTGGTTTCTAATAAGAAAGTGGAGGCTGATATGGATAGCATTTTTTTTTTAATTTTGGTAATTAGTGTTGCTAAAATCAACAGATATGGGTTGGAGATTTAGCTCAGTGGTTAAGTGCTTATCTAGAAAGCAAATCACTCCTGGTTTTGTTCAGAAATGGAGAAAAAAGTTATAAAGCATGTGTGAGTATTGTGGAAGACAACACATATTTTGTTACCTCCTTGCTAATAAAATTAACCATTTATTTTTAAGGGGCTGAAGGGAAGGAAAATATCATATTAGAAAGACCATTATTTATCTAAGGAGGAAGGTTTGGGAAATGCTGTGTATTGGACACGATACAGCTTGTGCAATCATGATCTCACAGACAGTATATACTTGCCTGCCTTGAGCCCACATGAGACAGGGCCTGTCAACAGTCGATCAGAGATTGGCAAGGACCCTACTCCTGCCTGGTGAGTTATGAGCTATTAAAAGAGAGAGCCACTGCCCTCTGTTCTGTACCCACTCATGAATTCTTCATAGTAAGTCCGTGGTTACTCAAACACCCTGGCTAAACGCAATGGCCTGCTGAACAAAACCAACCGGCTTGAATGAATGCGGAAAGAGATGAAGCCAGCGAGCGGAGGAGGTTGTTGGTGTGGGAGGAAAAGCAGAGGATATGAATGAGAAAAAGACGGGGAGGCTAACAGAAGTGGGAGAAAGAGAAGCTGGGGAATGAGAGTGAAGAAGATTGTTAAAGAATAAGTTTAGTAGTAGAAATTTTACAAAAGTTAAGGGTATACAATATTGTAACTTTTGTGAGAAACTCAATGCATTGTCTTTATTTTGCTTATTGGAAAACCACAAGTGGTTTTTTATCATGGGTCCACAACAGACTCACCAGTACCTGAGCTTCATTAGGGATTTACTGGGTACTGGGGTCTAAGTACAAAGCTGTGCTGCCTCTCTAGGACACATGCATCTTTTTTATTTATGTTTATAACAACATCCGATTAGTTATTATCCAGAAATTCAGAAGAAATACTGTTGCTTGACTTTTTTTAGTCTTAAAATATTTGAAAAAGTAATAAAATAAAGTGAAATCTGTTTAAGTTTACATATTAGTCAATTAAAACATATGAAGTAATATACTATTTATAATGCAATTAGTTCTCAGAAGATAGAGATTTTTAATATCTGAAAAAAAAGAAAAACTTTCTCATTATTAAATCAAATTTTAAAGTATTGTTTTTTTCTTTCTAATGCAAAGTACCTTGTAAGGCAAAACTGCAGGAAACCAGAGTCCCCTGCAATTCTGTGAGAATCGCCCAACTGAAAGGAGAACACACTTAAAACAGTGACTTCCTCTGGATGTCAATTATTCCAGACATCAAAGTACCATTGCTGAATTGCAGCTAAATTTGAAAAACATCATGTGTCACTATGAGAAATTGATTCTGCTTTGAAGAATGATACTCATTTCCTTTGGTGGAGGCATATGATATAGTTTTATTTAAACCTATCAGATTTAATAGAAAATGTTTTATCTGATAACTGGTTTCAATGATGTAAAATGGAACTCTGTCTAGAAACTAATAGAATCTACTCAGTGAATGAGTCAGTCCTTTGCCTTTGTCAATTAATTTCAATTTATTCATCATATAAAAAACATAAATTGATACATCACCAACACCTCACATTATTAAACTTGGGTTGCAATGCACCTAAAATTGGGGTTTACATAATAGGAAACTGTAATTGTCCAGTGAGCCAAGGTTTGAGGTTTAAACTACAGCAGTATTTTGTAAGACTGGAGAAGATTTGTATTAATATTCCAGTCTAATTATTGAAGCTTATTGAACATTATTAAAGCTTATAAGGGCGCACATTCCTTTAAAACAAGGAAATCTACAAAGTCCTATTTTCTTCCAAGGTCCAACCATGTAATAATGAAATGAGATTTTAGTCTTGTACAATCTGCCTGGTGCCCCCAGACTTGAAAGAATAAAGTGCTGACAACCGGTCCTAAGATCAGGGCTGTCTTCCTCTCCCAGAGTCATGGAAGCCAATTCCTCACCTCAGTACAATGTGTGGAAGAAGGTCTGTCCATGCCCAGGCAATGAGCGACAGTCCAATGTCTACTATCCTTCAACAGTCAGTGTTCAAAAACAAATGGCTCTGGTTTTGTGCTCTCATAGCCTCTTCCCAGAGGAAAGGCCCCCCCCCACACAGAGGGGGGAGGGAGGCATCTCTTCTCTTAGTATTGCTCTAACTCCTGTCTTTCCCTTACTGTGTAGCCATTTCCTCTCTGCAAACATTTTCTCTGCAACGTGTTAGTTAATTCATTGAAACAGGCATTCCTTTGCTACTCAGTTTTTCAAGAATTTCAGAAGTTGGCAATGTTGCTAATTATGTTCTTTTTCAAAAACTGCGTGTTAAGTAAATAACACAGCTGTAGGTCCAATATATCTGCTTCCACTTTCATTCCCTCTTATTTAGCCTCTGCTTTCCACTTACCTAGACTTGTGAAGACATTTCTTAAAGGGGTATTTATAAATCATCAGCCTTGTAACTGAAACTTTCCAGAATCTCTTCCCTTTCTATAGCAGGAGAGATAAGTCTTAAGACAGTCCTGAACAGTTGTCTTAAGACAACCTCAAATGTCTTCCATATGATTCGAGTTTTAAATAATTATGATCCAGCTGGTGGCCCTATTATGGCAGGCTTTCTACCCTTTATGATATGAGGTATGACTGATAGAAGTGAGTCTCTGGGGATTGCCTATATGAGTATGTTTTCTTTGTCAGCATCCTGTCTTGATCTCTTGTTTCTTGGTCCTCTATGACTTGAGTTGTTCTCTGCCATATGCTCACCTACCATGATGCTCTCTTCAATGCATGGTGCCGAATCATGAAGAATCATGGAGAACCCTCTGAAACCCTGAGTGAAAATCAACGTTCTATGCTTTGTTACTTTGATATGGCCACAGTACATGAAAATAATTCATGTATAAACACAATGCTTTAAAATGGTATGTAGGATCCTCTGGAAGCACATTTTTACCTTTTTTATTCCATGTCTTCTCTAAGTCAACCAATCTTTAATAGAATAGCTTCCTGTTAAAAAGGGATTTGCTTCAAATCTATGTTCCATGGGGACATGAAGATTCTCCACCTGTGTAATTTCCATCCTCTCCATTAGAGAGAAAGGCACAGCTACTTAGTACCATGCTCAGAGCATCAATAGAACTGATGAGTGGTAAAAGGACTTACTACGATTCTTGCTGTTATTACACTGTGTTATTGTGTAAGCATATTTCTCTAATCAAAGACATTTTCTGTTTCCAAACGTGTATCTCAAAATCTAACCAAGATTTTAGGGTTTAAGACTTGTTTGCATATGAATTCCTCTTTCACAAACCCACTGAAGGCTGGGGTTCTCACCTGTAATCTCTTCACTTTTACTGCTACACCTTCACTGATTATTGATTTTTCTTTCACATGTCTGTATTCCACAATAAATGAACTGTTTTTACAGTGAATACTTCTTGATTAGGCACTCAGGAAATTCTGCAGCCCCAACGTGTAGTAGTTTCTGTGTGTTGTGATAGTTTTCCTCACCATTTTACTGATTGCTCAGGCTCCTGCCTTGAAGGTTTGTTTAGGGATTGAATCAGTCCTGTTTATTTAAAAATGATTTTAACAACTAAAAAAAAAAGATATTAAATCAGGTAAAGACCAGAGTAATTTGTGTCTCGTCATAATAAGCTTGATTCTGAAAACTTTGAGGTAGATTTTGGGGCATCTGTGGGACACAGGGAAAATTAAAAAAAATATACCCATCCTAAGGTTCTAAGACTAAATTCATTCTATGAAAAGAATGCCTTCAATTATTTTCTTTCTTTCTTCCTTCCTTCCTTCCTTTCTTTCTTTCTTTCTTTCTTTCTTTCTTTCTTTCTTTCTGTCTTTCCTTTTCACTTCCTTCCTTCTTTTCTTTCTTTCTTTTTCTTTTGTTTGTTTGTTTTTTGGTTATCATTTTAGCAATAGAACATTATTGTTCAGTGTCTGGGCTCAATAAACAATAAATACTAGAAATTTTGCAATGTGCATGTATGTGGTTATGGTTACTTCATGCTAGTTTTAACCAGGTTAACACACTTTATTTTCAAACCTTTGTGTATGTGGCAGGCACCAAATTTCATAA